GCCTGATAACTTAAGACTTAGTCTGGTAAGATCTAGAGTAATTGTAAAAAAGCTTTAGTTGTATTAGTACCTTTTGTATAATGGCCTTTCAAGAGTTTTTACCTTAGAGGTTTTTCCTGAATTGAGAAGATTTTTTAGGGGTTACAAGGTTAGTGATGTAAGAAATCTTTCAATCCCCTGAAAGATGTGATATGCAATATCGGGTTTCGGTGTAGCTGGTTGCGTGAAAAATGCTTTTAGGTGCAGCTTTAAAACTGTTTTACGTGCAGAAGTGTAAGTGCATGGGGTAAAGTTTTAGAAGTGACTGGTTCGGCTAAAGGTCGTGCTTAATTGCTTTCCAAAATTTTCGTGCCTTAAAAAGAGAAATTGGATTTAAAATGTCCATTTTGGAAAGAGTATTTAACAACTTGTCTTTTGAGTGTGCGGGCATAATAATTTAGGTTAAAATAAGGAGGCGTTTAATGTATCACGCGGCTACTTAAAATAATAAAAGATAGAACTTTATGCTAGGATTAGTAGCAATAATAAAAACAAATAAACTGCTTATTAAACTGGTGTAATATTGAGTCCAGTGAAAATTACCGGGAAATAGTATAAGTTTATTACCAGGTGCTTACAACACTTAAATAGAAAAGTTTTCTTTTTCCGATTAGGCACAAAAATCGTGGCAAGAAGTGAAATATTTACGTTCGGTTTCGGCCCGATTTTTGGCTAAAGTTTAAAAGCCCTTGCTATACTCCGGCAATACTGTGCTGCCTTACTCTGAGTTTTACTGGGTTTTCATTTATGAAGTTATTAAGAAAACAAAATGTGTTATGGTGTATGAGCACGAAAGTTTTTGGTACTTTAGGAGCTTGTAATTTCAAGCTGGCACATAAAATGATTTTGGGAATGGTTATAGTTATTATGGTTTTATCTGTAATTCCAATTGTTTTTTCATGCTGATTTTCGGGTTTACCTAAAGAGGGGTATGATTGGGATAAGTCATCTCCATATGAATGTGGGTTTATCTCTGTTAAAAATCCAGGAGACTTTTCTTCTCGATTTTTTCATTTAGTCATTTTATTTTTAGTTTGAGATGTTGAAATCGTTCTTCTTGTCCCATGTTTTCAGGATTTGTTTGGTTGATCGCCTGAGGGAGCCGGGGCCGTGCTGTTTGTATTGATTCTAGTATACGGACTTTATTACGAAATAATAGAGGGGACTATTAAGTGGGCCTTACACGAGAATTAAAGGGGGCTGTAGCTTAAGGTTTAGAGCTTCGAGCTTTTAACTCGAGTGTGGGTGTGTCTCCGGCCTCAATAAACCGGGAGGAGCAGGCTAGGTTAGTATGATCTAAAAAGTACGTCGAATTTAGGTTTCGAAAGAAGGTGTATTAATGCCTGCTTGGTTGGGTAAGTAGCCTAAGATAAGGTATGACATTGAAGCTGTTAGGATGGCTTAAGAGTAAGCCCTAACCCAGGTGAGACCCACCAGTTCGGTACTTTAAGAAAAAAGACGAAGTTTGCATCTTCGCAATGAGATGTTCTCCCGAACTTTATGAGAGGTGAATACTATTTGTACCTCACTTTAATAACTATTTTTGTATATTTAGGGGTTTTATTAAGAGTGGCTTACTTTACTTTAATAGAGCGAAAAAGCTTAAGATCTTTTGGAGTTCGTTTGGGTCCAGATAAAACTAGTTTTTTAGGTTTTGCTCAGCCTATTACAGACGGTATTAAGCTTTTCATAAAGGAGTTTGTTGTTCCAGCAAACTCAGCTAGAATTGTATTTTTAGCAATTCCGTCCATTTCTCTGATTTTATGTCTTTTGGGGTGGCAGATTTTCCCGTCTTTTGCGGTATCTAACTGATATTCTAATGATATCTTATTTTTCTTGGTAGTAAGTAGGTTAAATGCACACATCGCTATTATAAGAGGGTGGTCTTCTAATTCTAAGTATTCTAGGGTTGGGGGTGTTCGTGGATTTGCTCAGGTTATCTCTTATGAAATTTGCCTTAGAATTTGTTTAGTTGTAGTGGTGATTGTGAGGGGGAGAATAAGATTTTTTTCTATTGCTGAGTCGGGGTGGTCTATTTGGTGGGGATTCTTTTGGCTCCCTGTGGTGTTGCTGTGGTTAACCGTATGTTTAGCGGAGGCTAATCGAGCACCATTTGATTTAGTAGAGGCGGAGTCTGAGCTTGTTTCCGGGTTTAACACCGAGTATTCTGCTGGAGGTTTTGCTTTGTTATTTATTGCAGAGTACGGGATAATTTTGTTATTGTGTTCGGTTACTGTTTTTAGGTTTTTTCAAAACCCTAACATGCTGTATGTAGCTGGGTTATGTTGAGCATTTCTAAAAGTTATGCTGCTTGTGTTCTTCTTTATTTGGTCTCGTGCAGCACTTCCTCGATTGCGGTATGATTTTCTGATGGTGGCATGTTGGTCTAGTCTTCTTCCCTTCATTTTAGGTGTTTATTGTCTTATTTTCTTTGTGTCTAAGGTTTAAAGTGAGTTCGTCGTTTGTTTTATATAGTATTACAGTGTGTGTTTTGGTGAGGGCAATATTAAAGCATTTTTCTAACTTTTTAAGCTATTTAATCCTAGTCGAGGGGGCATGCGTTGGACTTGGAGCTATATTAATGTACGCCGAAAGTTACATTCCTGCTTACGGTCTATTTATGTTCCTAGTCTTAGTTGCATGTGAGACTTCTTTGGCATTGGGTTTGATAGTGGGGATTATACGCAATCCTGAGTCAGGTGTCTACTCTTTATATTCTTACGGGGAGTAAAAAATGCAAAGAGCAATTAGTACAACTTAAGTATACTGGCTTGTCATGCCAGAGGTACGCATAATTTATTGCGGATTGCTCTAAGTAAAGTGTTTTATTGTGGCGCTGAAAGTTTTTTGTAAGCCCAGTAGCCGATAAGTTACTTTTTAATTTTAACTTACTTAAAAGTAGCTTTCGGTTGGAGTAAAAATTAGATTGATTTTTTTAAAAAAATAAACAAACTTTTAAAAATTTTTTTGTGCAATTCGTATAGTGAGTAGGGAGTGAAATATAATATAGAATAGGAAAGACTCTAATAATAGGGTATGAGTATAAATATAAATAATAGTAGTTATAGATAGTATGTTAAAGGGGATCTAGTTACAAGTGGGAAGGAATGAGTTTCCGGGGGTCTAGAATCCGGGTATACCTGGGGTATACCCATGAAATGATAGATGTATAAAGTGTGTAATAAGGGGTTATATGGCGAACAAAACTAATACTGGTAGTTATAAAAGACAGTTCAAGTTGAGTCAGGATATAAAGAAAAATTTGTAGAAAAACATAGCAAAAGGAACTCGGCAAAGCATGGCCTCGCCTGTTTAACAAAAACATCACTAAGAGAACCTCACTCTTAGCAGTACCTGCCCAGTGCAAAATTGTAAACGGCCGCCCTAGCGTGAGGGTGCCAAGGTAGCGAAATTCCTTGCCTTTTAATTGTAGGCCTGCATGAATGGATTGACGAGGGCCAGTCTGTCTCTTGCTTTGTGTAGTGAAATTGGACTGAAGGTGAAGATACCTTCATATAAAAGTTAGACAAGAAGACCCCGTGCAGCTTTTAAAAATTTGTTAATTAAGAGCAGTAGATTTTTAGGTGGGGCGCCTAGGAAGTAAAACTTAACCTTCATTATAATTTCTTTTGAATTAAAATAACTTTCTGGTGTAGACCCGGCAAGTCCGATCGTAGGAGAAGTTACGCCGGGGATAACAGGCTTATCCATTAGTAGAGCTCGTATTGGCTAATGGGATTGGCACCTCGATGTTGAATTAAGGATGATAGCTCTAAGGCGTAGAAGCTTTAGAATGTGGGTCTGTTCGACCTTTAATACCTTACGTGATTTGAGTTCAGACCGGCGTAAGCCAGGTCGGTTTCTATCTTCTTTTAGAATTTTCTTTTGGCTTGTACGAAAGGACTGCTGAGAGAGGAAATTTCCTTGATTTTAGAATTGTTTCTAAGGTAGTATGAATGTTTTAGCCTGCTGGGTTTGTTTAGCTTGTTTGTTAAATATAGGTCAGGTTGTGGTGGTTTTAAACTCTTGGATATTAATGATTTTTAGAGCGCTGTTTAGTATACTTGCTGCGGTTATGGCTAACTGTGGTTTAAGGTTTTGATTTTGTTGGGAGCTTGGACATATCTCCATAATTTCGGTGAGTCTTGATTTTTGCATGGACTGAATTGCTGCTTTATTTATAAGGGTGATTATAATAATCTCCGGTTGTGTAGGGTTTTTCATGAGGGTTTATATGGGTTCAGAAGACACAGTAAAACAGTTTAATTTAACTCTATACTCATTTGTATCGTCTATACTTGTTTTAGTAGTTGCGAGATCGATGCCTATCGTATTGCTGGGTTGAGATTGGTTGGGAGTGACTTCTTTTTTGTTGGTTATGTATTACGAGGGCAAGAAATCTTTTGATGCTGCTATGATTACTGCTCTGACCAACCGTGTTGGGGATGCGTTGCTAATTTGTAGAACAGCTGGTATGTGTATAGCGTCTGATTTAAGTTTAGACATAAAACCCTATTGTTGAAGTTTTATTTTTATTATTGGTTGTATTACTAAGAGAGCTCAAGTGCCGTTTAGCAGATGACTTCCTGCTGCTATGATAGCTCCAACTCCTGTCTCTTCTCTAGTTCATTCTTCCACTCTAGTGACGGCTGGAATTTATCTGTTAATCCGGTCCTCTACTTTCTGGGTGAATTCCAATGCAGCCTGTAGATTGCTAATGGGGGTTGGTATTATCACTACCACTATTGCTGGAGTCAGGGCAGTTATGGAAAGAGATGTTAAAAAAGTTGTTGCATTATCAACATTAAGTCAACTGGGTATCATGGCTTTTAGATTAGGTTTAGGAGAAGTCGAATTAGCTTTTATACACTTAGTATGTCATGCGTTTTTTAAGGCTGGCATGTTTTTAAGGGTGGGGTCTATAATTAGGCATAATGCAGGTAGCCAGTTTTTTAGAAGATTTGGTATGAACGTAGCAAGTCTTTCGCCTTCGGCTGTTTTCGGGTTATTCATAGGAAGGATTTCCTTAATAGGAGTTCCGGGCACTGCTGGTTATGCTTCTAAAGAATCAATTGTTGCCTCGGGGTATTCAAGAAACTCTTGGTTTACGGGGGGCTTAATGTACTTAGGAATTGGGCTGACTGCTCTTTATTCAGTTCGTGTTCTTGTTGGGGTCACTGGGTTAGCTAAGCACGGTATTCGAGATTTTTTAGGAGCTCGAGAGACCATGATGTTGTCTGCTCCGGGAGTATTCTTAGTATTCATGGGCTTAATCGGAGGAGAGTTTGTGTTCTTAAGCTCTTCTGGGGCATTTTTTTTTGAGGCTTTATCATCTAGGGAAGCTTGGTTTTGCCCCTACCTAATGGTTGTAGTGGGGGTATTCGTAGGGTCTCTGCTGCAGTTACTCTTGTCTAAGCTTTATGAGTTGCGATCTAAGTGAATTTACGGAATAGTATTTTTAGACTTAACTTCACGTTCATTTGTAAGCGAAGGCGGTAGAACTAGGTTTTCTGGGGTATCCGGAGATGGAGAAAATGTCGCTGAAGTTTCTATTCCGGTAAGAACCCTAGAAGTTGGGTTAGAGTATCTATCTGATTTTCACAATGTGATTCAACGGGCTTCTGTTACCGCCGGAGTTAGAGCAATCTTTGGCTTTAGCGGTGCTTATGTGTTATTGTAAAATGTGAAAATTGTTGTTTTTCTTGCTTTGGGTATACTCGTACTAGGGACTCTCTATGCTGCCTCATTATTTTTTTTCAGGGTGTTTCTTAGGTTAGCCATTCTTGGTGAAGTCGGAGAAAATTGTAGTGATTTTTTGTCGTTACTTTCATTTATAGTGTATGTAAGAGGAATTACTGCTGTAATTGGGTATTTTGTGACATTCTTCCCTAAAAAGTTTGAAGGGCGTGGTCAGAGGTATTGTGTTGTAAGACTTTCATATATCATTGGTTTGGGGTTATACATTATTTTTGTTGTGACTTCGCACGGGTACTGTGGAGTTGATTTAGTTAATCCGTGAGACTCTACGGGGGTATTAAGTCTTCACGGGCAGGCAATTAGGTTTCTGGCACCGATTTTATTGGTCGTGATAGTGGCAGTGGTGGTAATATCCAAGCCTGAATTAAATGCCCTTCGCCGCTGAAGGCCTTAGTGACACTCGGGGACGAGACTTCAAAATTAAAAGTTTTATTCAGGGTTTACCTATATTCGGGTTGGAGTAAAGATTGCTTAAATAGTTTAATAAAATATCAACTTGTGGCGTTGAAGATATCCTCAGTGATTTTAAGTAAGTGGCACTGTTATACCTAGTTGTGAGAACTTCTTTTTTGGTTTTGTTTTTAAATAAAAAAGACCAACTAATAGGGGTTGCTAATTTAATAGCTTTTTGGGCTATGTACAGTATTTCAATGTGGTCAGGTTCTGGGGTTTCTTGAGAATCCTATAGGGAGTATGTTACTAGGGATATCTTTAGGGCTAGAATGGTGACACTGACATTTTGGGTATGCGGCGTGAGAATTTTAGCCAGCGGGTCTATGGGAACGTTACGGGGGGACTACAAAAGGTTTGTCTGGTTAATGTTACTACTGTGCGTTCTTTTAATGGGTTGTTTTTTAGTAAACACAATATCTATTTTCTACGTGTTATTTGAAAGAACTTTAATCCCAATGGTGGCAATTATTGCTATTTGGGGTCAGCAGCCTGAGCGGATTCCAGCAATTCGGTACATTAGGGCCTACACTGTTGGTGGATCTCTTCCTTTACTTTTTGTAATTGTTTTTATGGAGTGTGAACTTGGTAGAAGGTTTATGTGGTTTTCTACTGCCAAATCGCATATTGACTGATGGTTTTGGGTTATATGTTTCTCTGGGTTTTTAGTAAAATTCCCTGCATATCCTGCACATACGTGGCTTCCTAAGGCCCATGTCCAGGCCCCTGTTGGGGGATCAGTGGTTCTTGCTGGGATTCTTCTTAAATTGGGTGGTTATGGGATTCTTCGTATAATGGCGGTGTTCTCATATAGGTTAGAGAAGTTTGGGTTACTGGTAATCTCTTTCTCGCTAGGGGGAAGAATTTACGCAGCATTTATATGTTCGCGACAAAGTGACGTTAAAAAGATAATTGCGTACTCTTCGGTTTCACATATAGCATTTTGTATTATTGGCTTATTTAGTTGTTTAGAGGTTGGGTTAGCTTCTGCTTTTATTATGCTCATGGGTCATGGATTTATCTCTTCTGGACTTTTTGCTTTGTGCGGCATAAGAAGTGAGTTAACTCATACTCGAAATTTAAAAATAATGAGGGGTGCTTGTCGTACTACCCCAGTTCTTACTTTTATGTGACTTGTTTTTATTATAATGAATTTAGGAGTTCCTCCTTGCCCAACCATTATTAGGGAAGTTTTGGCTGTGGTAAGGGTAATTTCTGTGGGTCCGTGAGCCTTCTTATTTCTGGTAGTTTATTTCTTTGCAAGGGGGGTTTACAGGTTTGGGTTATACTGTCAACTTGCTCATGGGCCTGTTCCAGAAGATCCGGCTATGTTTGAAGAGGTTAGACCGCGTGATATGCTTTCCGTATTTTTTTTATTCTATCCGTTAGCAGAATTACTTGTTAAGTGAGATCTATGAAGCACTCTCTAAAGGTCTTGGTTGAGTGGGCTCATAATTTTCTCGTTGTGTAGTATATAAAGTACAAAAGATTGTAACTCTTTAGGAACTGCTGCAGTCGCAATGACATGACAATTCAGTTTTTAGGTTTAGTCGTATTTTTTTCTATTTTCTCTTTTTGTTACATAAGGTACTTTATTTGGTCTCCTTTAGGAATATTCTCGTCAATAAGAATATGGGGTATTTACAAAAAAATCTACGTAAGAAGTATACATAGAAAAAAAGAGCGATTTAGGGCTTTAGGCGGAGGAGTAAGAGAAGGCTTAAGGTGAATTTTTGATTTCACAATTACCCTGGTGTTAATTGGTATTTTGCCTTGGGGGTTTCCTGGGTTATCCTCATGAGAAGTAGTAGCTGGACTAATGCCTAGGCTTTTTTACTCAGTAAATATTTTACAAACGGATGTGGATATTTTCAGAAAATCTCTTAAGTTTAAGCAGTCTGTAATGAAGTCCTTTCTTTATTTTCCCTTATTAGTTTTGAGGGTGGTTATTCGCCCTGTAACACTTACGGTTCGGATATTAGCAAATGCGCTGGTCGGGGCCGTTGTTTGCCACTCTTTAGCTAAAATAGTGGCATATGGTGTTGCTTATTCTAAGTTTTTGTCCCCCAAAACCATATTATGATTTGGTGTTATTTTAATTTGGGAGTTAGTGGTCATATTGGTTCAAAGGTCGCTATTTTTGGGGCTGTCAAAGATTTATTTTCGGCCAACCCCAGTTAAGTTTAAAGTGGCGGTTAAGTAAGGAAAGAATAGCTTAAAGAATGTAAAGCGTTTGACTGTTAATCAAGGGCTCCCGGAACGGGTTCTTTCTGCTTTAATTTTTGATAAAATAATTTAAGACAGGGTAGTTTAATAAGAATAATAAATTGCAAATTTGGGGGTACAAATGTTTTGTTCCTGTCTTTGCTTTAGGACTGTGATTAAAAGCCCGGGCTGTAAGTTAAGTAAAAACTATCAGACTTCAAATCTGAAAATATCTTTCTTTGGTCAGCCTGATTATTTAACAGTTTAATAAAATTAAAAGGGGAAATGCTCTTCGAGCGTTAGGGTTCGACAGCTGTTCCCCAAGTGTATTATTCTTTGGCTGGCTTACTTTTTATGATATTGGGTGTTTATTTTGCATTACTTGTAAATTTTGTGACTAGGTTGTTTTGGATTTGAGTTGCAATGGATCTAAGAACCATTTTTTTGGTCCCTTTTCTATGTTGCGGGATATCATTAACAGGGATAAATCAGTGGTATAAGGGGTCTGCGACATATTTCGTAGTTCAGTTTATGGGGAGCGCAAGAATTTTATATTCCGGGCTTACAATGTGGGAACCGGCTTTTGAGCTTGTGGGGGTAATTTTCTTAGTTTCGGGGTTTGTGTTAAAATTAGGGCTTTTCCCCCTTCACTTTTGGGTGCCCCGAGCCTTTGTAAATTTTCACTATCCAGCGATTTACTTAACTGGAGTAGTGCAAAAAGTTTTTCTTATTTTAGCCCTCCCTTATGTTAACTCTATCGGGTATATTAACTCACTAATTGGGCTGAGGGCGCTTTGTAGAGTCCTTTATGGGCCAGTTGCTATGTTCAACTGCACTAATATTAAAACCTTTCTGTCTTATTCTTCTATTAATAATACTGGCCTAATAGTTGCTTGTTGTAATATTAGAAAGTATCTGTTTTTATTTTACGCTATTTGTTATTCAGTAAGGATGTTATTTTTGGTTTTAATCCTCAGGGCTTGCATGTCTGACAACATTAAAGAGATAGGCGCTAGGATGCCTAATTTTTATTTTTCTAGGTTCTTGGCAATAGGTTTAAGGTTTTCTGGGTTTCCTCCGTTTACTGATTTCTGTGCAAAGTTTGCGGTTGTCACTGGCTATGTTGATTACGCAATATGAGGGTATATTTTAGCAATTTTATTAAGGAGGGTTATTAATCTATTAGTTTGAATTTGGTTAAGTGTGGTGATCATCCGAGCCATGCCGTCTGAAGGCAGTTGTGGGCCTACTTTTGTAGATAGGTGCGTCAATTACGGGTGCATTCTGTGGAATGCTACAGGTGGTGTGGTTTTGATATTATTTTACTAAGTTAGATTTAGTTTTACAGTTAAAAGGTAAATTAATTTTAAACAAACATGATAAAAGGTATGTCCGGAATTTATGAATTCCTCGATGCCACTAAGATACGTAATCTGAAGTGGTTTATCCCGTGTCCTGTATTACTTTACGGTAAGCGGGAATATATTATGTCTACAAATCATTTAGATATCGGAAGGTTTTATATGGTTTTTGGGTTTTGGTCTGTTCTGGCTGGAACAAGATTTAGGTCGCTAATTCGGTGAAGTTTATTCAATCCGGGGGCTAAGTTTTTAGACCCCGTATGCTATAATGCTGTAGTAACAATGCATGCCTTAGTAATAATTTTCTTCTTTGTTATGCCTGTTATGATTGGGGGATTTGGTAACTGACTAGTGCCGCTAATGCTTGAGGTTCCTGACATACAATTTCCGCGGGTTAACGCTTTTAGTTTTTGGGTCCTACCCGCGTCTTTGTATTTCATAGGAATTTCAGGATTTGTTGAAAATGGAGTTGGGGCTGGTTGAACTATCTACCCGCCATTATCAACTTTTTCTTATCATGGTATGTGTATGGACTTAGCTATTCTAAGGCTCCATTTGGCTGGTATTAGGTCAATTTTTAGGTCAATTAACTTCATGGTGACTATTAAAAATATGCGCTCTGTAGATGGGCACTTATTAAGACTATTTCCGTGGTCTATTAAAGTGACTTCCTTCTTATTATTGACAACTTTACCTGTGTTGGCTGGGGGTCTTACTATGTTACTAACTGATCGTCACTTTAATACTTCTTTTTTTGATCCTGTAGGTGGCGGGGACCCGGTTTTATTCCAACACTTATTCTGGTTCTTTGGTCATCCTGAGGTATATGTTCTTATTCTTCCTGGGTTTGGAATGATCTCCCATGTTTTGTGTTTTTGATCTAGAAAAAAGACTGCTTACGGGAATATGGGGATGTTCTATGCAATATTGAATATTGGGTTTTTAGGATTTATTGTGTGGGGTCATCACATGTTTGTGGCTGGAATGGATATTGACACGCGAGCTTATTTCAGAGCAGCAACTGTTATTATTGCTGTACCGACTGGAATTAAGGTATTTGCTTGAATTGCTACAATAATGGGGTCACAAGTTTCAACGCATGCCCCTATGTTATGGTCTACCGGTTTTATTGTCTTATTTACAATTGGTGGTCTAACCGGCCTTATTTTATCCAGTGCTTCTATTGACGTAACTCTTCACGACACCTATTTTGTAACTGGTCATTTTCACTATGTTTTATCAATGGGGGCAGTATTTACAATTTTAGCCGGATTTACTCACTGATTCCCATTATTTTCTCGAGTAATGCTTCATCGTCAAAAGATAAAGAGGCATTTTGTTGCGATGTTTTTAGGAGTAAACATTGCTTTCTTGCCTCATCATTTCTTAGGATTAGCTGGAATACCACGCCGAGTGGCAGATTATCCTGATCAGTTTTGATTTTGAAATAAAGTGTCTACTTTTGGGTCACACCTAAGAACAGCTTCTTTGCTCTTTTTTGTATTCTTAGTGTGGGAAGCTTTTATTGCCCATCGGCCTGTGGTTTCTGTTCGTAATAGATCAAGATCTCCGGAGTGGTCAGTAATGGTAAATCTTCCTAAGCACGCTGCTTTGGAGTCAGCCAAAATGTTGAAGGATCCAGCGAAAAAGTATTTAGGCAGGCGTTTGTAAGTAGTTTAGTAATTATGGGGTGGACTCTACTATGAAAGTGAGTTATAAAATTCTTTTCAGAATGCTGTACGCTACGGTTTCTATTGGTGCGTTTAAGCTTCAATATAGAAGAGTATTTAAGGGTAAAATTTTAAAAATTTTTGCGCGTAGTATCTAGTAAGATAGAAGGGAGTGAAAATATTTTAGCTCATGATGCCTTAAAAAAGATAAGGGACACTCTATTAGGATAATTTATCTTATGGTCAGTTTTAGTATAAGTTTACATTACAGGGGCCTTGTAAGTCCCAAATTTGCCTAAGCAAAGACTGATGTAAATAGAGTATGGCCTTAATTTATTTGGGCTTGAAGTAAAGAAAGGTTAAAAATATTTGGTTCTGGTATACTGTTAATCGAGAGTTCTTTGATATACACAATGTAGGAAATTTTCGTGATGTGCTAATTTAAAATAAGAGATAAGTTTGAGCGCTATCATAACCTAAATGGTGCAGTTGCAGTAGTATGAGCATAAGTGCTAGACGATGACGCGAAAAAAATCACAACTCAAGTGGACAACCCTGGACTCAATGAGTTAGCGCTCGAAACGAACAAGAAACTGTATAATATAAGCCAAAATGGGTGCCAGCAGCTGCGGTCATACCCTTTGAAGACGGGTTAATAGAGGTACAGCCTAGAGGCGGTTAGTCAGGTATGAAGATGCATTGACATACGCTAAGTTATAGAGGTCAAATTCTAAGTAAGACTTAGAGGCGGTCCTTTGCTTGCATAAAGATGATTCCGCGAAATTATGGGAATAAACCTGGATTTGATACCCAATTATTCCATAACGCCAAGGATAACGGCTATAAGGTATTAGCTGGTTGCTAGGGAACTACGAGCAGCTGCTTAAAACTCGAAGAACTTGGCGGTTCCATAAAGCCATCCAGAGGCTCTTGGCGCTTAATCCGATGATCCGCGTGATATCTTACCTGCCCTATATGGCATCGTACTGCCGTCCAAAGTATATGATGTGAGTAGACCAAAATAGACGTCACCTTGAGCGGCAAACATAAATAAAGTGTGCTGTTTTGAGACAAAGTCAGGTCGAAGCGTTCCTTATGGGTAAGGGGTTTGCTGAGAGACAATTTTTTTAGTTATATCAAGCCCTGTGGTTGAAACACTCAAGTTTTGAAAAATCTGGCGAGGGGGATTTGGGAGTAAATAGAAAGTAATTCATTCTATTGAAGAGTCGTTACTATGGTGCGTACAAATCGCCCGTCACCCTAGCCGAAAGGAGAGGTAAGTCGTAACATGGTAAGGGTAGGGGAACCTGCTCTTGTAATAAAGCTTTAAATTTTTTGTGCGGGGTAAACTATACCTTTAAATTCGGTTTTTAGAAGAGATTTAGTTTGGTAAATTTTTAGTGTATAAGCACTTTTAGTATAATTAGTATATTTGTCTTCCAAACAAAAGGTTTCCTGTATGGAAAAAGTGTAAATGATAAAAAAGCGGCATATGTATGGTTATCGAACACCCCGAAAGCTTCCTCGAACCCCGTTTCATATTGTAGACCCGAGTCCCTGACCTGTTCTCATAAGAATCGGATTATGGGGTTTAGCTACAATTTTTATTTGTTGGGTAAATAAAGTAGATTACGGACATCTATTTTGGGGTGTGCTTATCATCGCTTTAACTGTTTATGGATGAACTCGAGATATTGTAAACGAATCTACTTTTCAAGGGTTCCATACTAAAAAAGTTCAGATAGGAATTTCTTTAGGTTTTATTTTATTCTTAATTTCTGAGTTAATATTATTTTTTTCGTTTTTTTGGGCATTTTTTCACAGATCTATATCACCTTCTGTCGAGATTGGTTGTTGTTGACCTCCTGTGGGAGTTGAGTGTTTAGATTGAAGAAAGGCTCCTTTACATAATACGGCTCTTTTAGTTGCCTCATCATGTACCGTAACGTCTAGGCACAAATACCTGAAAGACGGAAACTTTACTTACGCGGTTGCGCTATTAGTTATAACGGTATTTTTATCCGGATTTTTCGTAAAGAATCAGTATGACGAGTATTCTTGAGCCTCTTTTTCAATTGCGGATGGGGTATACGGAAGTGCTTTTTTTATGTTGACCGGGCTTCACGGAATGCACGTGATTGGCGGTACGTGTGGTTTATTATACTCATTAGCCCGGCTTTTGTTACGGCAGTTTTCTACCCGCCGTCATCTTGGGTATGTTCTAGCTATTTGGTATTGGCATTTTGTAGACATTGTTTGACTTGCCTTGTTTTTTATTATTTATATTTGAGGATCTTAGGCTAGTAAAGTATTGTGCCAGAATTTTATGGGCTTTGTTGATGTCAAAGATTATGAGGGAATTCCTCCAATGCTTAGGTTAAGTTACAAAATAGGCTTTAGCCGTGTGAGTAATATTCGGGCTAGTGTAAAATAGCACATAAAATTTTCACTTTTATAGAGGGGGTGTCCCGCCCGGATAAAAAGAGTACAGGAGTGACAAGCATGGTCGAAATGCTTGATTCTGTAAAGTGGTCGATAATGGTGCCCTTATAATGAAAGGTGCATACTTTTCAGCAATAAAATATCCTTGTCCTCCAAATTTAAATATCTGATGAAACATAGGTTCAATGCTGTTTGTAACATTAATAATTCAAATTTTGAGGGGTATTATACTTAGAATAAACTATACTGCAGATGGGAGGTTGGTGACTAGAAGAATAAACTACATTCTACGAGATGCTAACTACGGGTGAGCTCTACGGAGAACTCATATAGCTGGGGCTTCTTTATTTTTTGCTTTAATCTATATTCACGTAGGGCGTGGTGTTTACTACGGAAGGTATATAAAGCTACCTCATGTTTGATACAGTGGGGTTACTCTTTATCTTTTATCTATGGGGGTAGGATTCTTAGGATACGTTCTTCCTTGGGGGGTAATGTCCTACTGGGGGTTGACTGTAATTTCTAATATAATGACAGTTTTTCCTGGGGGGGCTCGAGCTTTAGAATGATTTCAAGGCGGTTTCACTATCTCTACATTTACCCTTAAACGCGTATTTGTGCTACACTTTTTACTACCCTTTGTAATTTTAGGGATGAGGTTGGTACATGTATTACTGCTACATGAAAAGGGGTCTAGAAATCCTTTAGGGGTCGATTCAAGAGAGCTGGTTGTGCCTTTTCATCCTTATTACACCTCAAAAGATCTGGTGGGGTTTACATTTATACTAGCAGGGTTAATTGCTTTAGCATTTACTTTCCCTAAGTTTACCGCTGACCCCCTTCAATGGCAGGGGATTAATAAAATAAAAACTCCCGCTGTTATTAAACCAGAGTGGTACTTCCTGTATGCATATGCTATTTTGCGATCTGTTCCTCATAAAGCGGGCGGTCTTGCGCTTATGTTTGCTGCGATTTTAGGTATCGCTCTTTTGCCTACATTAGCAAAATACTCGAAAACCCAAAGAATGGTAATATCCCCGCTTGGGGAGGCATTATTTTTCATCTGAGTAGCAAATTTTGTGTTTTTAGGTATTATCGGATCTCAGGAGCCTGCTGGAGCGTGGATTTTGGCTGGACAAGTTGGAACATTCGTTCACTTGTTTTGTATGCTTTCCATTCCGGCAGCAAACTTGAAATGAGAAAATATGGTTTTCAATGGATTTGAGTTGAGGCAGTAAGTTGAAAAATGAGATATTGATGTCAAATATATTTTCAAAATAGGGTCACATTTGCCGGGATACGAGTCCAGTGAGTGTTTGGAATGTACTGTGCAGTTTTAACTCTAATTTTTATTTTTGTGATGCTTAGGGTAGTAATGTGTTTAGTATCTCCCCATCAATTTTTGTATGCTCAAACTGACCATACACTAGAGCGTATTTGGGGTTTAGTGCCACTTTTGATTTTAACTTTTCTATCTTGGCCTTCTATGGGGCTACTATACGCAATGTCTGAATTGGAGACTCCTCTAATCACAGTTAAATGCGTTGGGCACCAGTGATATTGAGAGTACGAGTACTCAGATTTTGCTGTAATTTCTTACAACTCCTACATAGTTCCTGAGAAGGAGTTAAATTTAGGTGAGCCGCGGTTATTAACTGTAGATAAATCTATGGTATTACCATTTTCTGTGTGGTGTCGTGTATTAACAACTTCGTTCGATGTAATTCATTCATGGACAGTTCCGGCTTTCGGGGTGAAGTCTGATGCTGTCCCTGGTCGGCTTAGAGAGTCTAGCGTAAAAGTAGAAATGCCCGGTGTCTTTTGGGGCCAATGTTCTGAAATCTGCGGAGCCTTACATAGGTTTATACCAATTCGGGTGGAAGTTGTGAGGTGTCGAGTGTTTGAGCAGTGAATAAGGGTGCTTGAAGATGCTATAGCTTAGTTTGCAAGATGGATTAAATTTAGATCGTCGGGCTCATGCCCCGAAGGTGCGGCTTAATTGCAGCTTTTGCAGTAAAGAAAGTTCCTTTCTAAAGGCTGGTGTCTTGAAAATACCATGATGGGAGGGAAGAGCTCTCAACTTTCTTAGTGAAAGGTTTAGCTGTTTTAGTTAGAATAAGAATGGTTTTATTAATACTTTGGTCTTGAGCTATTTATAGAAGGGCTTCACTTAGAATGCCGGATATTGAGTCCGATTTGACAGTTTTGTAGTGCCGCTATAACCGGAAAAGTAGTCTAAATTAAGGACGTCGGTTTCATAATCCGAAAGTAGAAAAATTAACTCTTTTCTATAGTTAAGTTAGGGGGATAAGTGGTCTTACACTGTGACTTCTAATCACAAATGGCGCAATTCGATTTTGTGCTCCTTCTTGGTGGCCATGTTGGCAGAGAAGTGCGTTAAATTTAAGCTTTAAAAAATGCGGGTGCGCCGCACATGGTTATACTGAAGCTAGTTAAAATAATAATAAGTGCTTTGGGAGCACTAGTTCCTTTAATGGGGCTTTAGATTTGGGTGTAAAGAATGTTTTACTGATAAAAAACTTTTAGCGGGCAAAGTATAGGAGAATTAGAAATGCCTGATAACTTAAGACTTAGTCTGGTAAGATCTAGAGTAATTGTAAAAAAGCTTTAGTTGTATTAGTACCTTTTGTATAATGGCCTTTCAAGAGTTTTTACCTTAGAGGTTTTTCCTGAATTGAGAAGATTTTTTAGGGGTTACAAGGTTAGTGATGTAAGAAATCTTTCAATCCCCTGAAAGATGTGATATGCAATATCGGGTTTCGGTGTAGCTGGTTGCGTGAAAAATGCTTTTAGGTGCAGCTTTAAAACTGTTTTACGTGCAGAAGTGTAAGTGCATGGGGTAAAGTTTTAGAAGTGACTGGTTCGGCTAAAGGTCGTGCTTAATTGCTTTCCAAAATTTTCGTGCCTTAAAAAGAGAAATTGGATTTAAAATGTCCATTTTGGAAAGAGTATTTAACAACTTGTCTTTTGAGTGTGCGGGCATAATAATTTAGGTTAAAATAAGGAGGCGTTTAATGTATCACGCGGCTACTTAAAATAATAAAAGATAGAACTTTATGCTAGGATTAGTAGCAATAATAAAAACAAATAAACTGCTTATTAAACTGGTGTAATATTGAGTCCAGTGAAAATTACCGGGAAATAGTATAAGTTTATTACCAGGTGCTTACAACACTTAAATAGAAAAGTTTTCTTTTTCCGATTAGGCACAAAAATCGTGGCAAGAAGTGAAATATTTACGTTCGGTTTCGGCCCGATTTTTGGCTAAAGTTTAAAAGCCCTTGCTATACTCCGGCAATACTGTGCTGCCTTACTCTGAGTTTTACTGGGTTTTCATTTATGAAGTTATTAAGAAAACAAAATGTGTTATGGTGTATGAGCACGAAAGTTTTTGGTACTTTAGGAGCTTGTAATTTCAAGCTGGCACATAAAATGATTTTGGGAATGGTTATAGTTATTATGGTTTTATCTGTAATTCCAATTGTTTTTTCATGCTGATTTTCGGGTTTACCTAAAGAGGGGTATGATTGGGATAAGTCATCTCCATATGAATGTGGGTTTATCTCTGTTAAAAATCCAGGAGACTTTTCTTCTCGATTTTTTCATTTAGTCATTTTATTTTTAGTTTGAGATGTTGAAATCGTTCTTCTTGTCCCATGTTTTCAGGATTTGTTTGGTTGATCGCCTGAGGGAGCCGGGGCCGTGCTGTTTGTATTGATTCTAGTATACGGACTTTATTACGAAATAATAGAGGGGACTATTAAGTGGGCCTTACACGAGAATTAAAGGGGGCTGTAGCTTAAGGTTTAGAGCTTCGAGCTTTTAACTCGAGTGTGGGTGTGTCTCCGGCCTCAATAAACCGGGAGGAGCAGGCTAGGTTAGTATGATCTAAAAAGTACGTCGAATTTAGGTTTCGAAAGAAGGTGTATTAATGCCTGCTTGGTTGGGTAAGTAGCCTAAGATAAGGTATGACATTGAAGCTGTTAGGATGGCTTAAGAGTAAGCCCTAACCCAGGTGAGACCCACCAGTTCGGTACTTTAAGAAAAAAGACGAAGTTTGCATCTTCGCAATGAGATGTTCTCCCGAACTTTATGAGAGGTGAATACTATTTGTACCTCACTTTAATAACTATTTTTGTATATTTAGGGGTTTTATTAAGAGTGGCTTACTTTACTTTAATAGAGCGAAAAAGCTTAAGATCTTTTGGAGTTCGTTTGGGTCCAGATAAAACTAGTTTTTTAGGTTTTGCTCAGCCTATTACAGACGGTATTAAGCTTTTCATAAAGGAGTTTGTTGTTCCAGCAAACTCAGCTAGAATTGTATTTTTAGCAATTCCGTCCATTTCTCTGATTTTATGTCTTTTGGGGTGGCAGATTTTCCCGTCTTTTGCGGTATCTAACTGATATTCTAATGATATCTTATTTTTCTTGGTAGTAAGTAGGTTAAATGCACACATCGCTATTATAAGAGGGTGGTCTTCTAATTCTAAGTATTCTAGGGTTGGGGGTGTTCGTGGATTTGCTCAGGTTATCTCTTATGAAATTTGCCTTAGAATTTGTTTAGTTGTAGTGGTGATTGTGAGGGGGAGAATAAGATTTTTTTCTATTGCTGAGTCGGGGTGGTCTATTTGGTGGGGATTCTTTTGGCTCCCTGTGGTGTTGCTGTGGTTAACCGTATGTTTAGCGGAGGCTAATCGAGCACCATTTGATTTAGTAGAGGCGGAGTCTGAGCTTGTTTCCGGGTTTAACACCGAGTATTCTGCTGGAGGTTTTGCTTTGTTATTTATTGCAGAGTACGGGATAATTTTGTTATTGTGTTCGGTTACTGTTTTTAGGTTTTTTCAAAACCCTAACATGCTGTATGTAGCTGGGTTATGTTGAGCATTTCTAAAAGTTATGCTGCTTGTGTTCTTCTTTATTTGGTCTCGTGCAGCACTTCCTCGATTGCGGTATGATTTTCTGATGGTGGCATGTTGGTCTAGTCTTCTTCCCTTCATTTTAGGTGTTTATTGTCTTATTTTCTTTGTGTCTAAGGTTTAAAGTGAGTTCGTCGTTTGTTTTATATAGTATTACAGTGTGTGTTTTGGTGAGGGCAATATTAAAGCATTTTTCTAACTTTTTAAGCTATTTAATCCTAGTCGAGGGGGCATGCGTTGGACTTGGAGCTATATTAATGTACGCCGAAAGTTACATTCCTGCTTACGGTCTATTTATGTTCCTAGTCTTAGTTGCATGTGAGACTTCTTTGGCATTGGGTTTGATAGTGGGGATTATACGCAATCCTGAGTCAGGTGTCTACTCTTTATATTCTTACGGGGAGTAAAAAATGCAAAGAGCAATTAGTACAACTTAAGTATACTGGCTTGTCATGCCAGAGGTACGCATAATTTATTGCGGATTGCTCTAAGTAAAGTGTTTTATTGTGGCGCTGAAAGTTTTTTGTAAGCCCAGTAGCCGATAAGTTACTTTTTAATTTTAACTTACTTAAAAGTAGCTTTCGGTTGGAGTAAAAATTAGATTGATTTTTTTAAAAAAATAAACAAACTTTTAAAAATTTTTTTGTGCAATTCGTATAGTGAGTAGGGAGTGAAATATAATATAGAATAGGAAAGACTCTAATAATAGGGTATGAGTATAAATATAAATAATAGTAGTTATAGATAGTATGTTAAAGGGGATCTAGTTACAAGTGGGAAGGAATGAGTTTCCGGGGGTCTAGAATCCGGGTATACCTGGGGTATACCCATGAAATGATAGATGTATAAAGTGTGTAATAAGGGGTTATATGGCGAACAAAACTAATACTGGTAGTTATAAAAGACAGTTCAAGTTGAGTCAGGATATAAAGAAAAATTTGTAGAAAAACATAGCAAAAGGAACTCGGCAAAGCATGGCCTCGCCTGTTTAACAAAAACATCACTAAGAGAACCTCACTCTTAGCAGTACCTGCCCAGTGCAAAATTGTAAACGGCCGCCCTAGCGTGAGGGTGCCAAGGTAGCGAAATTCCTTGCCTTTTAATTGTAGGCCTGCATGAATGGATTGACGAGGGCCAGTCTGTCTCTTGCTTTGTGTAGTGAAATTGGACTGAAGGTGAAGATACCTTCATATAAAAGTTAGACAAGAAGACCCCGTGCAGCTTTTAAAAATTTGTTAATTAAGAGCAGTAGATTTTTAGGTGGGGCGCCTAGGAAGTAAAACTTAACCTTCATTATAATTTCTTTTGAATTAAAATAACTTTCTGGTGTAGACCCGGCAAGTCCGATCGTAGGAGAAGTTACGCCGGGGATAACAGGCTTATCCATTAGTAGAGCTCGTATTGGCTAATGGGATTGGCACCTCGATGTTGAATTAAGGATGATAGCTCTAAGGCGTAGAAGCTTTAGAATGTGGGTCTGTTCGACCTTTAATACCTTACGTGATTTGAGTTCAGACCGGCGTAAGCCAGGTCGGTTTCTATCTTCTTTTAGAATTTTCTTTTGGCTTGTACGAAAGGACTGCTGAGAGAGGAAATTTCCTTGATTTTAGAATTGTTTCTAAGGTAGTATGAATGTTTTAGCCTGCTGGGTTTGTTTAGCTTGTTTGTTAAATATAGGTCAGGTTGTGGTGGTTTTAAACTCTTGGATATTAATGATTTTTAGAGCGCTGTTTAGTATACTTGCTGCGGTTATGGCTAACTGTGGTTTAAGGTTTTGATTTTGTTGGGAGCTTGGACATATCTCCATAATTTCGGTGAGTCTTGATTTTTGCATGGACTGAATTGCTGCTTTATTTATAAGGGTGATTATAATAATCTCCGGTTGTGTAGGGTTTTTCATGAGGGTTTATATGGGTTCAGAAGACACAGTAAAACAGTTTAATTTAACTCTATACTCATTTGTATCGTCTATACTTGTTTTAGTAGTTGCGAGATCGATGCCTATCGTATTGCTGGGTTGAGATTGGTTGGGAGTGACTTCTTTTTTGTTGGTTATGTATTACGAGGGCAAGAAATCTTTTGATGCTGCTATGATTACTGCTCTGACCAACCGTGTTGGGGATGCGTTGCTAATTTGTAGAACAGCTGGTATGTGTATAGCGTCTGATTTAAGTTTAGACATAAAACCCTATTGTTGAAGTTTTATTTTTATTATTGGTTGTATTACTAAGAGAGCTCAAGTGCCGTTTAGCAGATGACTTCCTGCTGCTATGATAGCTCCAACTCCTGTCTCTTCTCTAGTTCATTCTTCCACTCTAGTGACGGCTGGAATTTATCTGTTAATCCGGTCCTCTACTTTCTGGGTGAATTCCAATGCAGCCTGTAGATTGCTAATGGGGGTTGGTATTATCACTACCACTATTGCTGGAGTCAGGGCAGTTATGGAAAGAGATGTTAAAAAAGTTGTTGCATTATCAACATTAAGTCAACTGGGTATCATGGCTTTTAGATTAGGTTTAGGAGAAGTCGAATTAGCTTTTATACACTTAGTATGTCATGCGTTTTTTAAGGCTGGCATGTTTTTAAGGGTGGGGTCTATAATTAGGCATAATGCAGGTAGCCAGTTTTTTAGAAGATTTGGTATGAACGTAGCAAGTCTTTCGCCTTCGGCTGTTTTCGGGTTATTCATAGGAAGGATTTCCTTAATAGGAGTTCCGGGCACTGCTGGTTATGCTTCTAAAGAATCAATTGTTGCCTCGGGGTATTCAAGAAACTCTTGGTTTACGGGGGGCTTAATGTACTTAGGAATTGGGCTGACTGCTCTTTATTCAGTTCGTGTTCTTGTTGGGGTCACTGGGTTAGCTAAGCACGGTATTCGAGATTTTTTAGGAGCTCGAGAGACCATGATGTTGTCTGCTCCGGGAGTATTCTTAGTATTCATGGGCTTAATCGGAGGAGAGTTTGTGTTCTTAAGCTCTTCTGGGGCATTTTTTTTTGAGGCTTTATCATCTAGGGAAGCTTGGTTTTGCCCCTACCTAATGGTTGTAGTGGGGGTATTCGTAGGGTCTCTGCTGCAGTTACTCTTGTCTAAGCTTTATGAGTTGCGATCTAAGTGAATTTACGGAATAGTATTTTTAGACTTAACTTCACGTTCATTTGTAAGCGAAGGCGGTAGAACTAGGTTTTCTGGGGTATCCGGAGATGGAGAAAATGTCGCTGAAGTTTCTATTCCGGTAAGAACCCTAGAAGTTGGGTTAGAGTATCTATCTGATTTTCACAATGTGATTCAACGGGCTTCTGTTACCGCCGGAGTTAGAGCAATCTTTGGCTTTAGCGGTGCTTATGTGTTATTGTAAAATGTGAAAATTGTTGTTTTTCTTGCTTTGGGTATACTCGTACTAGGGACTCTCTATGCTGCCTCATTATTTTTTTTCAGGGTGTTTCTTAGGTTAGCCATTCTTGGTGAAGTCGGAGAAAATTGTAGTGATTTTTTGTCGTTACTTTCATTTATAGTGTATGTAAGAGGAATTACTGCTGTAATTGGGTATTTTGTGACATTCTTCCCTAAAAAGTTTGAAGGGCGTGGTCAGAGGTATTGTGTTGTAAGACTTTCATATATCATTGGTTTGGGGTTATACATTATTTTTGTTGTGACTTCGCACGGGTACTGTGGAGTTGATTTAGTTAATCCGTGAGACTCTACGGGGGTATTAAGTCTTCACGGGCAGGCAATTAGGTTTCTGGCACCGATTTTATTGGTCGTGATAGTGGCAGTGGTGGTAATATCCAAGCCTGAATTAAATGCCCTTCGCCGCTGAAGGCCTTAGTGACACTCGGGGACGAGACTTCAAAATTAAAAGTTTTATTCAGGGTTTACCTATATTCGGGTTGGAGTAAAGATTGCTTAAATAGTTTAATAAAATATCAACTTGTGGCGTTGAAGATATCCTCAGTGATTTTAAGTAAGTGGCACTGTTATACCTAGTTGTGAGAACTTCTTTTTTGGTTTTGTTTTTAAATAAAAAAGACCAACTAATAGGGGTTGCTAATTTAATAGCTTTTTGGGCTATGTACAGTATTTCAATGTGGTCAGGTTCTGGGGTTTCTTGAGAATCCTATAGGGAGTATGTTACTAGGGATATCTTTAGGGCTAGAATGGTGACACTGACATTTTGGGTATGCGGCGTGAGAATTTTAGCCAGCGGGTCTATGGGAACGTTACGGGGGGACTACAAAAGGTTTGTCTGGTTAATGTTACTACTGTGCGTTCTTTTAATGGGTTGTTTTTTAGTAAACACAATATCTATTTTCTACGTGTTATTTGAAAGAACTTTAATCCCAATGGTGGCAATTATTGCTATTTGGGGTCAGCAGCCTGAGCGGATTCCAGCAATTCGGTACATTAGGGCCTACACTGTTGGTGGATCTCTTCCTTTACTTTTTGTAATTGTTTTTATGGAGTGTGAACTTGGTAGAAGGTTTATGTGGTTTTCTACTGCCAAATCGCATATTGACTGATGGTTTTGGGTTATATGTTTCTCTGGGTTTTTAGTAAAATTCCCTGCATATCCTGCACATACGTGGCTTCCTAAGGCCCATGTCCAGGCCCCTGTTGGGGGATCAGTGGTTCTTGCTGGGATTCTTCTTAAATTGGGTGGTTATGGGATTCTTCGTATAATGGCGGTGTTCTCATATAGGTTAGAGAAGTTTGGGTTACTGGTAATCTCTTTCTCGCTAGGGGGAAGAATTTACGCAGCATTTATATGTTCGCGACAAAGTGACGTTAAAAAGATAATTGCGTACTCTTCGGTTTCACATATAGCATTTTGTATTATTGGCTTATTTAGTTGTTTAGAGGTTGGGTTAGCTTCTGCTTTTATTATGCTCATGGGTCATGGATTTATCTCTTCTGGACTTTTTGCTTTGTGCGGCATAAGAAGTGAGTTAACTCATACTCGAAATTTAAAAATAATGAGGGGTGCTTGTCGTACTACCCCAGTTCTTACTTTTATGTGACTTGTTTTTATTATAATGAATTTAGGAGTTCCTCCTTGCCCAACCATTATTAGGGAAGTTTTGGCTGTGGTAAGGGTAATTTCTGTGGGTCCGTGAGCCTTCTTATTTCTGGTAGTTTATTTCTTTGCAAGGGGGGTTTACAGGTTTGGGTTATACTGTCAACTTGCTCATGGGCCTGTTCCAGAAGATCCGGCTATGTTTGAAGAGGTTAGACCGCGTGATATGCTTTCCGTATTTTTTTTATTCTATCCGTTAGCAGAATTACTTGTTAAGTGAGATCTATGAAGCACTCTCTAAAGGTCTTGGTTGAGTGGGCTCATAATTTTCTCGTTGTGTAGTATATAAAGTACAAAAGATTGTAACTCTTTAGGAACTGCTGCAGTCGCAATGACATGACAATTCAGTTTTTAGGTTTAGTCGTATTTTTTTCTATTTTCTCTTTTTGTTACATAAGGTACTTTATTTGGTCTCCTTTAGGAATATTCTCGTCAATAAGAATATGGGGTATTTACAAAAAAATCTACGTAAGAAGTATACATAGAAAAAAAGAGCGATTTAGGGCTTTAGGCGGAGGAGTAAGAGAAGGCTTAAGGTGAATTTTTGATTTCACAATTACCCTGGTGTTAATTGGTATTTTGCCTTGGGGGTTTCCTGGGTTATCCTCATGAGAAGTAGTAGCTGGACTAATGCCTAGGCTTTTTTACTCAGTAAATATTTTACAAACGGATGTGGATATTTTCAGAAAATCTCTTAAGTTTAAGCAGTCTGTAATGAAGTCCTTTCTTTATTTTCCCTTATTAGTTTTGAGGGTGGTTATTCGCCCTGTAACACTTACGGTTCGGATATTAGCAAATGCGCTGGTCGGGGCCGTTGTTTGCCACTCTTTAGCTAAAATAGTGGCATATGGTGTTGCTTATTCTAAGTTTTTGTCCCCCAAAACCATATTATGATTTGGTGTTATTTTAATTTGGGAGTTAGTGGTCATATTGGTTCAAAGGTCGCTATTTTTGGGGCTGTCAAAGATTTATTTTCGGCCAACCCCAGTTAAGTTTAAAGTGGCGGTTAAGTAAGGAAAGAATAGCTTAAAGAATGTAAAGCGTTTGACTGTTAATCAAGGGCTCCCGGAACGGGTTCTTTCTGCTTTAATTTTTGATAAAATAATTTAAGACAGGGTAGTTTAATAAGAATAATAAATTGCAAATTTGGGGGTACAAATGTTTTGTTCCTGTCTTTGCTTTAGGACTGTGATTAAAAGCCCGGGCTGTAAGTTAAGTAAAAACTATCAGACTTCAAATCTGAAAATATCTTTCTTTGGTCAGCCTGATTATTTAACAGTTTAATAAAATTAAAAGGGGAAATGCTCTTCGAGCGTTAGGGTTCGACAGCTGTTCCCCAAGTGTATTATTCTTTGGCTGGCTTACTTTTTATGATATTGGGTGTTTATTTTGCATTACTTGTAAATTTTGTGACTAGGTTGTTTTGGATTTGAGTTGCAATGGATCTAAGAACCATTTTTTTGGTCCCTTTTCTATGTTGCGGGATATCATTAACAGGGATAAATCAGTGGTATAAGGGGTCTGCGACATATTTCGTAGTTCAGTTTATGGGGAGCGCAAGAATTTTATATTCCGGGCTTACAATGTGGGAACCGGCTTTTGAGCTTGTGGGGGTAATTTTCTTAGTTTCGGGGTTTGTGTTAAAATTAGGGCTTTTCCCCCTTCACTTTTGGGTGCCCCGAGCCTTTGTAAATTTTCACTATCCAGCGATTTACTTAACTGGAGTAGTGCAAAAAGTTTTTCTTATTTTAGCCCTCCCTTATGTTAACTCTATCGGGTATATTAACTCACTAATTGGGCTGAGGGCGCTTTGTAGAGTCCTTTATGGGCCAGTTGCTATGTTCAACTGCACTAATATTAAAACCTTTCTGTCTTATTCTTCTATTAATAATACTGGCCTAATAGTTGCTTGTTGTAATATTAGAAAGTATCTGTTTTTATTTTACGCTATTTGTTATTCAGTAAGGATGTTATTTTTGGTTTTAATCCTCAGGGCTTGCATGTCTGACAACATTAAAGAGATAGGCGCTAGGATGCCTAATTTTTATTTTTCTAGGTTCTTGGCAATAGGTTTAAGGTTTTCTGGGTTTCCTCCGTTTACTGATTTCTGTGCAAAGTTTGCGGTTGTCACTGGCTATGTTGATTACGCAATATGAGGGTATATTTTAGCAATTTTATTAAGGAGGGTTATTAATCTATTAGTTTGAATTTGGTTAAGTGTGGTGATCATCCGAGCCATGCCGTCTGAAGGCAGTTGTGGGCCTACTTTTGTAGATAGGTGCGTCAATTACGGGTGCATTCTGTGGAATGCTACAGGTGGTGTGGTTTTGATATTATTTTACTAAGTTAGATTTAGTTTTACAGTTAAAAGGTAAATTAATTTTAAACAAACATGATAAAAGGTATGTCCGGAATTTATGAATTCCTCGATGCCACTAAGATACGTAATCTGAAGTGGTTTATCCCGTGTCCTGTATTACTTTACGGTAAGCGGGAATATATTATGTCTACAAATCATTTAGATATCGGAAGGTTTTATATGGTTTTTGGGTTTTGGTCTGTTCTGGCTGGAACAAGATTTAGGTCGCTAATTCGGTGAAGTTTATTCAATCCGGGGGCTAAGTTTTTAGACCCCGTATGCTATAATGCTGTAGTAACAATGCATGCCTTAGTAATAATTTTCTTCTTTGTTATGCCTGTTATGATTGGGGGATTTGGTAACTGACTAGTGCCGCTAATGCTTGAGGTTCCTGACATACAATTTCCGCGGGTTAACGCTTTTAGTTTTTGGGTCCTACCCGCGTCTTTGTATTTCATAGGAATTTCAGGATTTGTTGAAAATGGAGTTGGGGCTGGTTGAACTATCTACCCGCCATTATCAACTTTTTCTTATCATGGTATGTGTATGGACTTAGCTATTCTAAGGCTCCATTTGGCTGGTATTAGGTCAATTTTTAGGTCAATTAACTTCATGGTGACTATTAAAAATATGCGCTCTGTAGATGGGCACTTATTAAGACTATTTCCGTGGTCTATTAAAGTGACTTCCTTCTTATTATTGACAACTTTACCTGTGTTGGCTGGGGGTCTTACTATGTTACTAACTGATCGTCACTTTAATACTTCTTTTTTTGATCCTGTAGGTGGCGGGGACCCGGTTTTATTCCAACACTTATTCTGGTTCTTTGGTCATCCTGAGGTATATGTTCTTATTCTTCCTGGGTTTGGAATGATCTCCCATGTTTTGTGTTTTTGATCTAGAAAAAAGACTGCTTACGGGAATATGGGGATGTTCTATGCAATATTGAATATTGGGTTTTTAGGATTTATTGTGTGGGGTCATCACATGTTTGTGGCTGGAATGGATATTGACACGCGAGCTTATTTCAGAGCAGCAACTGTTATTATTGCTGTACCGACTGGAATTAAGGTATTTGCTTGAATTGCTACAATAATGGGGTCACAAGTTTCAACGCATGCCCCTATGTTATGGTCTACCGGTTTTATTGTCTTATTTACAATTGGTGGTCTAACCGGCCTTATTTTATCCAGTGCTTCTATTGACGTAACTCTTCACGACACCTATTTTGTAACTGGTCATTTTCACTATGTTTTATCAATGGGGGCAGTATTTACAATTTTAGCCGGATTTACTCACTGATTCCCATTATTTTCTCGAGTAATGCTTCATCGTCAAAAGATAAAGAGGCATTTTGTTGCGATGTTTTTAGGAGTAAACATTGCTTTCTTGCCTCATCATTTCTTAGGATTAGCTGGAATACCACGCCGAGTGGCAGATTATCCTGATCAGTTTTGATTTTGAAATAAAGTGTCTACTTTTGGGTCACACCTAAGAACAGCTTCTTTGCTCTTTTTTGTATTCTTAGTGTGGGAAGCTTTTATTGCCCATCGGCCTGTGGTTTCTGTTCGTAATAGATCAAGATCTCCGGAGTGGTCAGTAATGGTAAATCTTCCTAAGCACGCTGCTTTGGAGTCAGCCAAAATGTTGAAGGATCCAGCGAAAAAGTATTTAGGCAGGCGTTTGTAAGTAGTTTAGTAATTATGGGGTGGACTCTACTATGAAAGTGAGTTATAAAATTCTTTTCAGAATGCTGTACGCTACGGTTTCTATTGGTGCGTTTAAGCTTCAATATAGAAGAGTATTTAAGGGTAAAATTTTAAAAATTTTTGCGCGTAGTATCTAGTAAGATAGAAGGGAGTGAAAATATTTTAGCTCATGATGCCTTAAAAAAGATAAGGGACACTCTATTAGGATAATTTATCTTATGGTCAGTTTTAGTATAAGTTTACATTACAGGGGCCTTGTAAGTCCCAAATTTGCCTAAGCAAAGACTGATGTAAATAGAGTATGGCCTTAATTTATTTGGGCTTGAAGTAAAGAAAGGTTAAAAATATTTGGTTCTGGTATACTGTTAATCGAGAGTTCTTTGATATACACAATGTAGGAAATTTTCGTGATGTGCTAATTTAAAATAAGAGATAAGTTTGAGCGCTATCATAACCTAAATGGTGCAGTTGCAGTAGTATGAGCATAAGTGCTAGACGATGACGCGAAAAAAATCACAACTCAAGTGGACAACCCTGGACTCAATGAGTTAGCGCTCGAAACGAACAAGAAACTGTATAATATAAGCCAAAATGGGTGCCAGCAGCTGCGGTCATACCCTTTGAAGACGGGTTAATAGAGGTACAGCCTAGAGGCGGTTAGTCAGGTATGAAGATGCATTGACATACGCTAAGTTATAGAGGTCAAATTCTAAGTAAGACTTAGAGGCGGTCCTTTGCTTGCATAAAGATGATTCCGCGAAATTATGGGAATAAACCTGGATTTGATACCCAATTATTCCATAACGCCAAGGATAACGGCTATAAGGTATTAGCTGGTTGCTAGGGAACTACGAGCAGCTGCTTAAAACTCGAAGAACTTGGCGGTTCCATAAAGCCATCCAGAGGCTCTTGGCGCTTAATCCGATGATCCGCGTGATATCTTACCTGCCCTATATGGCATCGTACTGCCGTCCAAAGTATATGATGTGAGTAGACCAAAATAGACGTCACCTTGAGCGGCAAACATAAATAAAGTGTGCTGTTTTGAGACAAAGTCAGGTCGAAGCGTTCCTTATGGGTAAGGGGTTTGCTGAGAGACAATTTTTTTAGTTATATCAAGCCCTGTGGTTGAAACACTCAAGTTTTGAAAAATCTGGCGAGGGGGATTTGGGAGTAAATAGAAAGTAATTCATTCTATTGAAGAGTCGTTACTATGGTGCGTACAAATCGCCCGTCACCCTAGCCGAAAGGAGAGGTAAGTCGTAACATGGTAAGGGTAGGGGAACCTGCTCTTGTAATAAAGCTTTAAATTTTTTGTGCGGGGTAAACTATACCTTTAAATTCGGTTTTTAGAAGAGATTTAGTTTGGTAAATTTTTAGTGTATAAGCACTTTTAGTATAATTAGTATATTTGTCTTCCAAACAAAAGGTTTCCTGTATGGAAAAAGTGTAAATGATAAAAAAGCGGCATATGTATGGTTATCGAACACCCCGAAAGCTTCCTCGAACCCCGTTTCATATTGTAGACCCGAGTCCCTGACCTGTTCTCATAAGAATCGGATTATGGGGTTTAGCTACAATTTTTATTTGTTGGGTAAATAAAGTAGATTACGGACATCTATTTTGGGGTGTGCTTATCATCGCTTTAACTGTTTATGGATGAACTCGAGATATTGTAAACGAATCTACTTTTCAAGGGTTCCATACTAAAAAAGTTCAGATAGGAATTTCTTTAGGTTTTATTTTATTCTTAATTTCTGAGTTAATATTATTTTTTTCGTTTTTTTGGGCATTTTTTCACAGATCTATATCACCTTCTGTCGAGATTGGTTGTTGTTGACCTCCTGTGGGAGTTGAGTGTTTAGATTGAAGAAAGGCTCCTTTACATAATACGGCTCTTTTAGTTGCCTCATCATGTACCGTAACGTCTAGGCACAAATACCTGAAAGACGGAAACTTTACTTACGCGGTTGCGCTATTAGTTATAACGGTATTTTTATCCGGATTTTTCGTAAAGAATCAGTATGACGAGTATTCTTGAGCCTCTTTTTCAATTGCGGATGGGGTATACGGAAGTGCTTTTTTTATGTTGACCGGGCTTCACGGAATGCACGTGATTGGCGGTACGTGTGGTTTATTATACTCATTAGCCCGGCTTTTGTTACGGCAGTTTTCTACCCGCCGTCATCTTGGGTATGTTCTAGCTATTTGGTATTGGCATTTTGTAGACATTGTTTGACTTGCCTTGTTTTTTATTATTTATATTTGAGGATCTTAGGCTAGTAAAGTATTGTGCCAGAATTTTATGGGCTTTGTTGATGTCAAAGATTATGAGGGAATTCCTCCAATGCTTAGGTTAAGTTACAAAATAGGCTTTAGCCGTGTGAGTAATATTCGGGCTAGTGTAAAATAGCACATAAAATTTTCACTTTTATAGAGGGGGTGTCCCGCCCGGATAAAAAGAGTACAGGAGTGACAAGCATGGTCGAAATGCTTGATTCTGTAAAGTGGTCGATAATGGTGCCCTTATAATGAAAGGTGCATACTTTTCAGCAATAAAATATCCTTGTCCTCCAAATTTAAATATCTGATGAAACATAGGTTCAATGCTGTTTGTAACATTAATAATTCAAATTTTGAGGGGTATTATACTTAGAATAAACTATACTGCAGATGGGAGGTTGGTGACTAGAAGAATAAACTACATTCTACGAGATGCTAACTACGGGTGAGCTCTACGGAGAACTCATATAGCTGGGGCTTCTTTATTTTTTGCTTTAATCTATATTCACGTAGGGCGTGGTGTTTACTACGGAAGGTATATAAAGCTACCTCATGTTTGATACAGTGGGGTTACTCTTTATCTTTTATCTATGGGGGTAGGATTCTTAGGATACGTTCTTCCTTGGGGGGTAATGTCCTACTGGGGGTTGACTGTAATTTCTAATATAATGACAGTTTTTCCTGGGGGGGCTCGAGCTTTAGAATGATTTCAAGGCGGTTTCACTATCTCTACATTTACCCTTAAACGCGTATTTGTGCTACACTTTTTACTACCCTTTGTAATTTTAGGGATGAGGTTGGTACATGTATTACTGCTACATGAAAAGGGGTCTAGAAATCCTTTAGGGGTCGATTCAAGAGAGCTGGTTGTGCCTTTTCATCCTTATTACACCTCAAAAGATCTGGTGGGGTTTACATTTATACTAGCAGGGTTAATTGCTTTAGCATTTACTTTCCCTAAGTTTACCGCTGACCCCCTTCAATGGCAGGGGATTAATAAAATAAAAACTCCCGCTGTTATTAAACCAGAGTGGTACTTCCTGTATGCATATGCTATTTTGCGATCTGTTCCTCATAAAGCGGGCGGTCTTGCGCTTATGTTTGCTGCGATTTTAGGTATCGCTCTTTTGCCTACATTAGCAAAATACTCGAAAACCCAAAGAATGGTAATATCCCCGCTTGGGGAGGCATTATTTTTCATCTGAGTAGCAAATTTTGTGTTTTTAGGTATTATCGGATCTCAGGAGCCTGCTGGAGCGTGGATTTTGGCTGGACAAGTTGGAACATTCGTTCACTTGTTTTGTATGCTTTCCATTCCGGCAGCAAACTTGAAATGAGAAAATATGGTTTTCAATGGATTTGAGTTGAGGCAGTAAGTTGAAAAATGAGATATTGATGTCAAATATATTTTCAAAATAGGGTCACATTTGCCGGGATACGAGTCCAGTGAGTGTTTGGAATGTACTGTGCAGTTTTAACTCTAATTTTTATTTTTGTGATGCTTAGGGTAGTAATGTGTTTAGTATCTCCCCATCAATTTTTGTATGCTCAAACTGACCATACACTAGAGCGTATTTGGGGTTTAGTGCCACTTTTGATTTTAACTTTTCTATCTTGGCCTTCTATGGGGCTACTATACGCAATGTCTGAATTGGAGACTCCTCTAATCACAGTTAAATGCGTTGGGCACCAGTGATATTGAGAGTACGAGTACTCAGATTTTGCTGTAATTTCTTACAACTCCTACATAGTTCCTGAGAAGGAGTTAAATTTAGGTGAGCCGCGGTTATTAACTGTAGATAAATCTATGGTATTACCATTTTCTGTGTGGTGTCGTGTATTAACAACTTCGTTCGATGTAATTCATTCATGGACAGTTCCGGCTTTCGGGGTGAAGTCTGATGCTGTCCCTGGTCGGCTTAGAGAGTCTAGCGTAAAAGTAGAAATGCCCGGTGTCTTTTGGGGCCAATGTTCTGAAATCTGCGGAGCCTTACATAGGTTTATACCAATTCGGGTGGAAGTTGTGAGGTGTCGAGTGTTTGAGCAGTGAATAAGGGTGCTTGAAGATGCTATAGCTTAGTTTGCAAGATGGATTAAATTTAGATCGTCGGGCTCATGCCCCGAAGGTGCGGCTTAATTGCAGCTTTTGCAGTAAAGAAAGTTCCTTTCTAAAGGCTGGTGTCTTGAAAATACCATGATGGGAGGGAAGAGCTCTCAACTTTCTTAGTGAAAGGTTTAGCTGTTTTAGTTAGAATAAGAATGGTTTTATTAATACTTTGGTCTTGAGCTATTTATAGAAGGGCTTCACTTAGAATGCCGGATATTGAGTCCGATTTGACAGTTTTGTAGTGCCGCTATAACCGGAAAAGTAGTCTAAATTAAGGACGTCGGTTTCATAATCCGAAAGTAGAAAAATTAACTCTTTTCTATAGTTAAGTTAGGGGGATAAGTGGTCTTACACTGTGACTTCTAATCACAAATGGCGCAATTCGATTTTGTGCTCCTTCTTGGTGGCCATGTTGGCAGAGAAGTGCGTTAAATTTAAGCTTTAAAAAATGCGGGTGCGCCGCACATGGTTATACTGAAGCTAGTTAAAATAATAATAAGTGCTTTGGGAGCACTAGTTCCTTTAATGGGGCTTTAGATTTGGGTGTAAAGAATGTTTTACTGATAAAAAACTTTTAGCGGGCAAAGTATAGGAGAATTAGAAATGCCTGATAACTTAAGACTTAGTCTGGTAAGATCTAGAGTAATTGTAAAAAAGCTTTAGTTGTATTAGTACCTTTTGTATAATGGCCTTTCAAGAGTTTTTACCTTAGAGGTTTTTCCTGAATTGAGAAGATTTTTTAGGGGTTACAAGGTTAGTGATGTAAGAAATCTTTCAATCCCCTGAAAGATGTGATATGCAATATCGGGTTTCGGTGTAGCTGGTTGCGTGAAAAATGCTTTTAGGTGCAGCTTTAAAACTGTTTTACGTGCAGAAGTGTAAGTGCATGGGGTAAAGTTTTAGAAGTGACTGGTTCGGCTAAAGGTCGTGCTTAATTGCTTTCCAAAATTTTCGTGCCTTAAAAAGAGAAATTGGATTTAAAATGTCCATTTTGGAAAGAGTATTTAACAACTTGTCTTTTGAGTGTGCGGGCATAATAATTTAGGTTAAAATAAGGAGGCGTTTAATGTATCACGCGGCTACTTAAAATAATAAAAGATAGAACTTTATGCTAGGATTAGTAGCAATAATAAAAACAAATAAACTGCTTATTAAACTGGTGTAATATTGAGTCCAGTGAAAATTACCGGGAAATAGTATAAGTTTATTACCAGGTGCTTACAACACTTAAATAGAAAAGTTTTCTTTTTCCGATTAGGCACAAAAATCGTGGCAAGAAGTGAAATATTTACGTTCGGTTTCGGCCCGATTTTTGGCTAAAGTTTAAAAGCCCTTGCTATACTCCGGCAATACTGTGCTGCCTTACTCTGAGTTTTACTGGGTTTTCATTTATGAAGTTATTAAGAAAACAAAATGTGTTATGGTGTATGAGCACGAAAGTTTTTGGTACTTTAGGAGCTTGTAATTTCAAGCTGGCACATAAAATGATTTTGGGAATGGTTATAGTTATTATGGTTTTATCTGTAATTCCAATTGTTTTTTCATGCTGATTTTCGGGTTTACCTAAAGAGGGGTATGATTGGGATAAGTCATCTCCATATGAATGTGGGTTTATCTCTGTTAAAAATCCAGGAGACTTTTCTTCTCGATTTTTTCATTTAGTCATTTTATTTTTAGTTTGAGATGTTGAAATCGTTCTTCTTGTCCCATGTTTTCAGGATTTGTTTGGTTGATCGCCTGAGGGAGCCGGGGCCGTGCTGTTTGTATTGATTCTAGTATACGGACTTTATTACGAAATAATAGAGGGGACTATTAAGTGGGCCTTACACGAGAATTAAAGGGGGCTGTAGCTTAAGGTTTAGAGCTTCGAGCTTTTAACTCGAGTGTGGGTGTGTCTCCGGCCTCAATAAACCGGGAGGAGCAGGCTAGGTTAGTATGATCTAAAAAGTACGTCGAATTTAGGTTTCGAAAGAAGGTGTATTAATGCCTGCTTGGTTGGGTAAGTAGCCTAAGATAAGGTATGACATTGAAGCTGTTAGGATGGCTTAAGAGTAAGCCCTAACCCAGGTGAGACCCACCAGTTCGGTACTTTAAGAAAAAAGACGAAGTTTGCATCTTCGCAATGAGATGTTCTCCCGAACTTTATGAGAGGTGAATACTATTTGTACCTCACTTTAATAACTATTTTTGTATATTTAGGGGTTTTATTAAGAGTGGCTTACTTTACTTTAATAGAGCGAAAAAGCTTAAGATCTTTTGGAGTTCGTTTGGGTCCAGATAAAACTAGTTTTTTAGGTTTTGCTCAGCCTATTACAGACGGTATTAAGCTTTTCATAAAGGAGTTTGTTGTTCCAGCAAACTCAGCTAGAATTGTATTTTTAGCAATTCCGTCCATTTCTCTGATTTTATGTCTTTTGGGGTGGCAGATTTTCCCGTCTTTTGCGGTATCTAACTGATATTCTAATGATATCTTATTTTTCTTGGTAGTAAGTAGGTTAAATGCACACATCGCTATTATAAGAGGGTGGTCTTCTAATTCTAAGTATTCTAGGGTTGGGGGTGTTCGTGGATTTGCTCAGGTTATCTCTTATGAAATTTGCCTTAGAATTTGTTTAGTTGTAGTGGTGATTGTGAGGGGGAGAATAAGATTTTTTTCTATTGCTGAGTCGGGGTGGTCTATTTGGTGGGGATTCTTTTGGCTCCCTGTGGTGTTGCTGTGGTTAACCGTATGTTTAGCGGAGGCTAATCGAGCACCATTTGATTTAGTAGAGGCGGAGTCTGAGCTTGTTTCCGGGTTTAACACCGAGTATTCTGCTGGAGGTTTTGCTTTGTTATTTATTGCAGAGTACGGGATAATTTTGTTATTGTGTTCGGTTACTGTTTTTAGGTTTTTTCAAAACCCTAACATGCTGTATGTAGCTGGGTTATGTTGAGCATTTCTAAAAGTTATGCTGCTTGTGTTCTTCTTTATTTGGTCTCGTGCAGCACTTCCTCGATTGCGGTATGATTTTCTGATGGTGGCATGTTGGTCTAGTCTTCTTCCCTTCATTTTAGGTGTTTATTGTCTTATTTTCTTTGTGTCTAAGGTTTAAAGTGAGTTCGTCGTTTGTTTTATATAGTATTACAGTGTGTGTTTTGGTGAGGGCAATATTAAAGCATTTTTCTAACTTTTTAAGCTATTTAATCCTAGTCGAGGGGGCATGCGTTGGACTTGGAGCTATATTAATGTACGCCGAAAGTTACATTCCTGCTTACGGTCTATTTATGTTCCTAGTCTTAGTTGCATGTGAGACTTCTTTGGCATTGGGTTTGATAGTGGGGATTATACGCAATCCTGAGTCAGGTGTCTACTCTTTATATTCTTACGGGGAGTAAAAAATGCAAAGAGCAATTAGTACAACTTAAGTATACTGGCTTGTCATGCCAGAGGTACGCATAATTTATTGCGGATTGCTCTAAGTAAAGTGTTTTATTGTGGCGCTGAAAGTTTTTTGTAAGCCCAGTAGCCGATAAGTTACTTTTTAATTTTAACTTACTTAAAAGTAGCTTTCGGTTGGAGTAAAAATTAGATTGATTTTTTTAAAAAAATAAACAAACTTTTAAAAATTTTTTTGTGCAATTCGTATAGTGAGTAGGGAGTGAAATATAATATAGAATAGGAAAGACTCTAATAATAGGGTATGAGTATAAATATAAATAATAGTAGTTATAGATAGTATGTTAAAGGGGATCTAGTTACAAGTGGGAAGGAATGAGTTTCCGGGGGTCTAGAATCCGGGTATACCTGGGGTATACCCATGAAATGATAGATGTATAAAGTGTGTAATAAGGGGTTATATGGCGAACAAAACTAATACTGGTAGTTATAAAAGACAGTTCAAGTTGAGTCAGGATATAAAGAAAAATTTGTAGAAAAACATAGCAAAAGGAACTCGGCAAAGCATGGCCTCGCCTGTTTAACAAAAACATCACTAAGAGAACCTCACTCTTAGCAGTACCTGCCCAGTGCAAAATTGTAAACGGCCGCCCTAGCGTGAGGGTGCCAAGGTAGCGAAATTCCTTGCCTTTTAATTGTAGGCCTGCATGAATGGATTGACGAGGGCCAGTCTGTCTCTTGCTTTGTGTAGTGAAATTGGACTGAAGGTGAAGATACCTTCATATAAAAGTTAGACAAGAAGACCCCGTGCAGCTTTTAAAAATTTGTTAATTAAGAGCAGTAGATTTTTAGGTGGGGCGCCTAGGAAGTAAAACTTAACCTTCATTATAATTTCTTTTGAATTAAAATAACTTTCTGGTGTAGACCCGGCAAGTCCGATCGTAGGAGAAGTTACGCCGGGGATAACAGGCTTATCCATTAGTAGAGCTCGTATTGGCTAATGGGATTGGCACCTCGATGTTGAATTAAGGATGATAGCTCTAAGGCGTAGAAGCTTTAGAATGTGGGTCTGTTCGACCTTTAATACCTTACGTGATTTGAGTTCAGACCGGCGTAAGCCAGGTCGGTTTCTATCTTCTTTTAGAATTTTCTTTTGGCTTGTACGAAAGGACTGCTGAGAGAGGAAATTTCCTTGATTTTAGAATTGTTTCTAAGGTAGTATGAATGTTTTAGCCTGCTGGGTTTGTTTAGCTTGTTTGTTAAATATAGGTCAGGTTGTGGTGGTTTTAAACTCTTGGATATTAATGATTTTTAGAGCGCTGTTTAGTATACTTGCTGCGGTTATGGCTAACTGTGGTTTAAGGTTTTGATTTTGTTGGGAGCTTGGACATATCTCCATAATTTCGGTGAGTCTTGATTTTTGCATGGACTGAATTGCTGCTTTATTTATAAGGGTGATTATAATAATCTCCGGTTGTGTAGGGTTTTTCATGAGGGTTTATATGGGTTCAGAAGACACAGTAAAACAGTTTAATTTAACTCTATACTCATTTGTATCGTCTATACTTGTTTTAGTAGTTGCGAGATCGATGCCTATCGTATTGCTGGGTTGAGATTGGTTGGGAGTGACTTCTTTTTTGTTGGTTATGTATTACGAGGGCAAGAAATCTTTTGATGCTGCTATGATTACTGCTCTGACCAACCGTGTTGGGGATGCGTTGCTAATTTGTAGAACAGCTGGTATGTGTATAGCGTCTGATTTAAGTTTAGACATAAAACCCTATTGTTGAAGTTTTATTTTTATTATTGGTTGTATTACTAAGAGAGCTCAAGTGCCGTTTAGCAGATGACTTCCTGCTGCTATGATAGCTCCAACTCCTGTCTCTTCTCTAGTTCATTCTTCCACTCTAGTGACGGCTGGAATTTATCTGTTAATCCGGTCCTCTACTTTCTGGGTGAATTCCAATGCAGCCTGTAGATTGCTAATGGGGGTTGGTATTATCACTACCACTATTGCTGGAGTCAGGGCAGTTATGGAAAGAGATGTTAAAAAAGTTGTTGCATTATCAACATTAAGTCAACTGGGTATCATGGCTTTTAGATTAGGTTTAGGAGAAGTCGAATTAGCTTTTATACACTTAGTATGTCATGCGTTTTTTAAGGCTGGCATGTTTTTAAGGGTGGGGTCTATAATTAGGCATAATGCAGGTAGCCAGTTTTTTAGAAGATTTGGTATGAACGTAGCAAGTCTTTCGCCTTCGGCTGTTTTCGGGTTATTCATAGGAAGGATTTCCTTAATAGGAGTTCCGGGCACTGCTGGTTATGCTTCTAAAGAATCAATTGTTGCCTCGGGGTATTCAAGAAACTCTTGGTTTACGGGGGG